TCCTTGGCTGAGAGGTGAGGAAAGAGAATTAACGCTGGCCATTTTAAGCTTAGAGATGATCAAAAAACAGAATTTCCACCCAGTAGGAAACTCCAATACTGATATTTTAGTTTCAAATCACAACACAAAATTAAAATATCAAACTTTTCATTAAATAAGAAATAAATTGTAATTTGGAAATATTTAATTTCATTTCAGGTTGGCATGAATGCGTGTCTGCTTGAGACACCACAGTGCCTCATGACAGATGTAGGTATGGATCTTTTGTACCTCTAATCTCCTCTATACACCCTTCACCATGGATGGAATACAACTCCCATCATACACGCCAGCCCCTCCATGATGAATCCCATAATACATCATCACAGCTCAGTTACAGGATCAACAAAATGTTTCAATTAAATTTTCTCAATAGAAAATGCAGCCAAAATCAGTCTTTTCCCATGAAACATTTTGATATTGATGAAACCCCATTTTTGGAAAGAACAATGTTTCATTAGAAAATTTTCTGCCAGCCTTCCTTTAAGCCCTTTCCCACCCATTCATTCAGATGTAATATAATCAGAATCAAGCTTGGAACCATATATAAAACTAGCCAATAGCCCGTCGTAAAACGGAATTTTCGGGTCTCTCCTGCATGTCCGTCTCTCTCTCTCTCCTCTTCCTCCTGCCTCCCCCCTCTCTCTCAGCTCTCCTCTGCCTCCTGCCTCTCTCTACGTCTCTCTTTCTCTTCTCCCCCTCCTGCCTCTCACTCTCTCTTTCTCTTCTCCTCCCCCTCCTGCCTCTCACTCTGGGGACTGCAGAGCCCAAAGAGCCATTTAGGCTCCACACTCCCCGTGCTGCATGGAGAGCGGGGAGCCCAAACGGTCGCTTGTGCCACTTGCTCCCACGTGGCGGCCCGGCTGAGTAGCGCAGAAGTCAGCCGAGCGCCATGGCGGGAGGTGAAGGATGTGACTTAGGCAACAGCACCACCCAGAGGAAACAGCCGCTGCTAAGCCGGGCCGCCGCATGGGAGCAAGTGGCACAAAAGGCCGTTTGGGCTCCCCCGCAGCGGCCCGGCTCAGTGGTGCAGAACTCAGCTGAGCACCATGGCGGAGGGGAAGGAGGGCGGGGTGGTGATGTACACGGCCCTGGCCCCTGGCCATGTACGTCACCGCCCTGCCCCCCTTCCCCTCCCGCCGTGGCGCTCGGCTGAGTTCTGCGCCGCTCAGCAGGGCCACCACGGGGGAGCAAGCGGCCATTTGGGGTCCACGCTCCCAGTGCAGCACAGTGCTGCATGGGGAGCGCGGACCCAAAATGGCCGCTTGCGCCACTTACTCCCCCGCGGCCGCCCAGCTGAGCAGCACAGAAGTCAGACGAGCGCCACAGTGGGAGGCAACAGTGCCCCCCAGAGGCAAGACTGTAACACTACAGCGTTACAGAGTCACAGACATTGGGCTACTATATATGTATGATACCTGTAGGAAAGATAGTGTTCCTCCTCTGCAATGAAACTAAAGTGATAATAGGCCTTCTGCAGGTAGTATTGCCCCTTAAAATAGCAATACTATGTGCCCAATAACAAACCACAAGAGTGTGTAAAGATCCTTTTAACTTGGCTCCCAAATGGCAATGTATAAGTTGTGACCTCGAGAGACGTAATGTTCTTATCAGCAGGGGCTGCTTCTCCAAAGCCTAGTTCCACTGTTCAATAGTTTGCTCATTCACATGGTATTCGATGTTTGTACTTTCCTGTTCATAATATATATTGCTCCGTTTCACTATCATAAACAGTTATGACTTGTGTATCAGTAGCAACATTTTACTGACGCACTGATGTTTCTCCAAAGCCTGCATCTACTTGCCAGGATTCCTGTTCATTCAGGATTATTGTGAAGTGTGCTGATCAGGTGGTGCCAGTAGCTGTTGGTCAGTATCAGACACGGAGAAGCTGATGCTGAGCCAAAAGATCTGTTGTTACTGCTCATGGTCATGTGGCTACAACTAGTTAAACTTTAGAAAATTAAGGAACTCATCTTTCAAAGACTAATACACGTGCATAATTTTACCCCTAAAAGTAGATCCATTTTCCTCAGTGTGATTCCTTTATACGGGTAAAGATTAGTCACGCGCATCAGCCTTTTCAGGACTATCTCCCATATTAGTATAATGTTTTCCTCAAGCAGATTAAAGCTTAGATTGAAAACTGCCATTTCCATGGTTCTACAGGTAAACTAAAGGACTCTGAAGACTTTAGTGCCTGTAAATGTGAGATTTTTAGGGGAGAACTGCTGACAATAAAACTACGTCTAGACTGCAAGCCTCTTTCAAAAGAGGCTTTTTCGAAAGATACTTTCAAAAAAGCTTCTTTTGAAAAAGAGCGTCTAGACTACAACCAGTATTTTGAAAAAGAGAGCCGCTTTTTTGAAAGAAAGCACCCAGGCAGTCTGGATGCTCTCTTTTGAAAAAGCACAGTTTGCATTACATAGCACCTTTTTTTGAAAGAGCACTTTCGAAAAAAGGCATTCTTCTCATAAAAGAAGGTTTTTCGCGGTCGAAAAAACTGCCACGTTCTTTCGATTTACTTTTGAAAGAACACTGCACCAGTCTAAATGCAGGGGAAGTTTTTTCAAAGAAAAGCCACTTTTTTCGAAAAAACCCTGTAGTCTAGACACACCCTTATGGTCCTACCACATATGTATATACTGAGAGATAGAGCCCTGTGTTTTATTTACTTTTATTCTACCCCCCTTCACAGAGATACAGAAATGCCCAACCCCAGCAGTTGCTCCCTGACATCATGTCACTTGACAAGAAAACAACAATCCCAAAACTGAATCAAAAGCAAAAGCACCAAAATCAACTTTTCTCTCCATTTTAAAATAAACACAGGCAGATAATGTCACTCCCATAACTAACTGCAACTCCCCCTTAAAAGTAAATTTCCAAAGCAGAGAATCCCTGGTGGAGGAGATCTTACTGAAAGTCCCACTAATTTGTAATGAGTGGGGCCCTACCAAACTCACCGTTGTGAAAAACACATGAAATCTGATCTCTGCCATAAAAACTGAGTATTGTAGAGGAGGGGCAGGACTGCAGTTGCCCCAGCCAGGGGATTCTACTGTTGGACAGTCTCTGGTTACTAGTCCTGGCTCAGACTGGAAAGGGATGAGACTTCCTCTTCCTCCGTAGGGGCCACTCCCAGAAGTGGAACTGACCCACCTCTGGGAATGAACCCCAGTTGCAGAAAAGTCTTTGGCTGCTGGATGGAGGCTGCCAGGAAAACATGGAGGTATGGTAACTCCCACACCATGCAACCCTTACTTCTGGACTGCCCTTTTATGGTGCTAGATTTTAGACCTTTGAAACCTTCTGATCCCAGTCAGTGCAGATCCCACAACATTTACGCATCAGTGTACTCCTGATGTGAAATTGCTTGGTAATCAAGCTATATAATTTGCCTTATCTTTGGTTTCAATGTTAGGCACTTCAAGGAAGCACTATGTAAATGTAATTTCAAGGCAAAAACGAAAAGGATAATTGTGGCAAGGTCTCTAAACCAGAGTGGAAAAAAAGTTTGCCTTCTGTTCGCCATTTTTAGATGGAAAAACATTCCCTAACTGGGCATCCAGGAAGAGCCCAGGAACCAGTAACACACTGAAATTGGGCACCCAGGTAACAAATGTGGCCATACACCTTTAATTAGGGATATCAGTGTAAATTCTTTTCATTTCATCCACCTGCTTCCCACAGTCTATCAACATTCTCTCTATCTTGTCTGGAAAAAGTCTCCTCCAGCCAGCCTTTATGAAAACCCTAATCTCGTCTAGATCTTGGGGTATTTCTTCCATTGCACTACCAAGGACAATAGCATGCTTTACTAGGGTAGATAAATATTATACATTTTCTTTCACACATGCAGAAACTGTGGAAGTGAATAGCAGTCTAGAATACCATATACTGATTGATAGGGGTGTGCATTTGACCTCAGTAAATGATATGGTGATATTTCCAAAGTGAGATAGATTCAAGAGAGGCAGTTAGTTGTGAGAAATTCTGTCTCATCCTGGAATTAAAGGGCAAGGGCTTATTAAATTGACTTCCCAGGTTTCCCTTTTATGGATTTGGTGCATAGTAAAAGTGTCTTGAATCCACCACCAGCAGGTCTTTAAAGAGAATGGGGTTAGGCCAAATAGTCTGCAGAGCAAAATGGTAATACTGGGTTTGTTTTAATAAGCACGAAAGTGTGCATACATATGGTGTGGCTTCAGAACAGCCCCGCATGGGGGATTAACATTGATCTTCTTTTTATGTGAATAAATTAAATTATATTCACAAACTGTCATTTTAGATATATAGTAAATCCTAAATCTTTAAATCTACATTGTTTCATTTGTATGTATAAGTCCTAAAGAAATGTGCAGTGATGCACAACTATGCGCTGACATTTTTTCTGCACTCAGTTAATCATCTACCAACGTGCCAGAAATTATGAAAATAACTCAAGTCTACTGTGAATTCAGCCCTCAGGGTGTCCAACTCCTGCCCCTTATGGAAAGATATTTTACCTCTTGTGGCCCTAAGCCCCCTTCTGCAATCATTACACTACTGCAATCGTAGCTGTACACAATGTGCTTTCTGATGTAGCACACTGGTTAATAACACCACTGTAAAATGCAAGTGAGAACATTTTATGTGGAGTCATGATTTCCCTCTGTATAATGTGACCAGAACATATTTAAGACCAGGCAGCCTTGCCTAGGAAAAGGTGATACATAGGTCTGTCATATACAAGGAAATGTGGTTTTTCCTAAATGTATATATTAGTAGTAAACAAAACCATTGAGGGTAAACTGGTAAAAGTGATCCTCCTCTTGAGAGACAGAATTAGCATGGCTCCTGCACATCAGAGAGACACAGGAGACTGAATCCACAAGAGGCCTTCCCAGCTTGTAAAACAGAGATGTTCCTTTAGGGACATAAGAAACTAAGCGAGATTCCATCTTTTTCCTTCCCCTTAGGAGACAAGAAACCAAGCCATTTGGCCTCTGGGATGAGAGTGGGCAAGGCTGGTTGGTGAAAAGCTGGACAGGAGACTGTGGGTGAGATAAACCATCATGAACAAAGATTGCATCCTGCTAGATTCAGTTTTAATTGTTTATATGCATGTTTTCACTTTTACTTGCTTGTTACCATCTCTTCCTTTATCTCTTTTACTTTATACCACTTACTGTGTGGATACTTATAAATGTATATTGTGTTCATGCTAAATCAACAGTTCTGTGTAAGGTCAGTGAAGTGTGGGCTCCTAGAAAGCTAACAGGTTGCAATATTTAACTGCCTCTGTAAAGACAGTGAACCCCACACTTTCTCTGTGAGGATACTAGTGTGTGCAGCAGGATGATTTGGGGGGTTAATTCAGGCCTGGAAGAACATGAAGGTCATCCCACAAGAAGTAGCTAGGTTGGACAAAGCCAGGGTGAGGTTTGTGAGCTACTGGCAGACTTTGGGGGTCAGAGCTCTGGACCAAAGCTGAATAGCCACACAGAACTGATGATAAGGCAGACTTTTATCAAACCCCTTGCTGGCCTGGGTGAACCACACAATCTCACACTTCTTCTCTCCTGGATAAGTTTCATATGTTCATGTTCCCCATGGAGAATTTCTGCTTACTTTGGGCTATATCATTATCATGAGGAGACAATCCACACTGGGCCTATGTGACGGGGGTGGTCCATTCACCGCTGGGATGGTACCTCCTCCAGGTCACGCTGGGGGATTGCTCACCAGGTCAACACCTCTTCCCACAGTTGCATGCCATCACTCCATCTCTCTTCTGGTCTGCTGCCCTCCCCTCATACTCAATGGGCAGCTGCTGCCACTTCAAGACTCAACACTCCGGCTAGGTCAGGTTAGAAAGACACTTCTCACATACAGGTTCAGGCAGTCTTCCCATTTGCTGCCCTGCCAGTACCCTTTCTCCAAAGGGTTGGCAGGGGAACTTAGTCTGGCACTTTGCATTTCAGTATAACGATTTTATTCAAATGACTGTTTTCATTTGCTTTTTTGTTTGAGATTATATCGTGCACCAAGTAATCTCCTGTGGTATGAGGAGTGGAACTGGAGACAGGGATTTAGGTTTCAGGGGGGACTGGAAATGGTGAGGGACCAGAGGCTTAGGAATGCAAGCTGGGAGACTGGCTGCTGCAACCTCAGCAAGTAATACTGGCCTTGCAATATATTATGTGTAACTCAGCACGATGGTGATAATTATGATGTGCAGTTACAGCAGCACCTAGAGGACACAGCCAAGAACAGAGCCCCATGGTGCTAGGCATTGCACATACATGTAGTAAGCAATTCCCTTGAAAAGCTTATAATCTAAACAAACAAAATGGCCAGTGTGGGGTGGGATAGAAAAGCACAGAGAGGTGCAGAGACTTGTCTAATGTAACATCGAAAGTTAGTGACAGAGCTGGAAATTGAACTCTGCTCCCCTAGCTTCCAGCTCAGCATTCTGTCCACAGGAGCACACATGTGGCTTTAGAAATACCAGATTGTTTTTATAAAGTATGATTTATAAGTCACTCAAAAATTAACTAGTTCCAAGACTTAGAAGCTATAATCATGCATTGAGTACGAGTCCCATAATATAGCCCAAAGTAGCTCAACTCATCTCCCTTCAAACGCCAACAATGCTATGCCTCAGCTGCACCTTAATGTACCACTTTTCCTAAATCTCCATCATACTTTCTGTAATGACTCAGTCTTGTGAACTACTTTCTTAACTAATTAGGGTTTATCTACACTGCAACACTATTTCTAAATAACTAGCGCTATTCTCGAATAACTTAGTCCGCACCTACACAGCAGGCAGTTATTTCAAAATAGTGTCAAAATACTGTCAGCCTGAACTTCTTACTCTGACTCCTGTGACCCTCATTGTATGAGGAATAAGGGAAGTTGGAGGAAGAGTGCTCTATTTCGAAATAACTGCTGTGTAGACACTTATTTTGAAATAAGCTATTTCTAAATAAGATACGCAATTGACATAGCTCAATATATTGAGCATGTGCAGTGTAGACACATCTTAAGCTGTTCAGGAGGATTAATTACTGACCACAGCAGTCAGCAATGGGTCAGTAAACTAATGTGGCTGGAATTTGTGTTTAGAATACTTTCTTCTATTATTAGATACCCTTCCCCCCCCCCCACCATTGTAGGACACAAACACACACCCCAGCCTGGGAGCCTTCCTGGTTGTGGAGGGGAAGCTATTGAGATACATAGTAAGTCTGCTGTTCCTGAATACTCCAAAGCTGATAAATCCAGCCTGGAATCAATTCTGTTTACCCTGAATATGACCAAGGGGGTCTCTAAGTTAGTGGCCCACAACATTTTCCACAGGGAGATACCTCTCCTGCCCCCTCCTTTTTGAATAGCTGGGATCTAGTTGGGAGCCAGCTCTCATTTAGCAATATGAGAAGAGCAGATCACATGCCACACTCCCTGGCACCTGTTGGTGAACCCCAGTTTGAGAACACATACTCCAGTTTACAGAGTTGGCCCTTGGTTTGAGTCTGAGCCGGAGAAGCAGCACTCACTATACTCCTAGCTATCACTATCCCCATTGTGTCCATCATGGACAAATACTTGTTGGCCTCTAAAGTGTGGTTTCTCCGCTGGATCTGTGAGGATCCCCATTGCCTTTTCATTTATTTTCCCTTTTCTTTAACTTTCCTTCCTTCCTGCAAACACAGATCTCCAGGCAATCCAGTCGTGTTCTAACAATAGGGGCAGCAGGGGGCACTCGCATGGCCTCTCATTGTTCGGCTAATGGAGCTTTGTGGATTCTAGATTCCCCAGCTCAGAAGGAGCTTGCTCTTCATGCTGCCTTGCCTTATCCCTATGGCCTCATGAGCCCACATTCTGCGCATTGATTCTGCCCCTGCGCCTTTAGAGACCACGCTTTCTTCCACCTCCTCCCTGGTCTATTTACTCCCATCTGGACTGTACTCCCATTTGAGTGGCCAGACTCTTGACTGGTGTAAATCAGCATAGCTCCACTGACATCAATCAATGCCTTGAAGCCAATAGAGCGGTGTTCACCTACACCCATTCAGGATCTGACCCTGGAAGCTGTTCTTGATTGTTACAGGCTGTTCACATGGGAATGGAGTGACCACTGAATGTGATCATTTATGTTGGCAACATGTTCACCTTAATGGCTCTTCCATGAGTGCCTGGTGACAAGAGTTCCTGGAGCTGGTGCTGTCTTTGTTGTC